TTCCCGAAACGTATTCATCCTGTTCACCCTCCATTCTTATCAGTTGCGAGCAAAAATACCAGACACAGTTTAGAGACAAATTCATTAACTATCAACTGCTAGGAAATGGCATGGAATAAAAATCTTTCAAACTTAATACAAATATAACAATGCCTGTGATGATAACAACCTGATACCATTACATATTATCGTTATCATTACCATTATAATAAGTTTTATGCTACTATTACCCTCAAAATATCGTAATTCTTAATACCATTAACTCAATTACAATTATCAAACGAAAAGCATTTAAGAAGGTCAACAAATTATTGGTCAATCAAGTATAGAAGCCCAAAAAGCCCCATCCCGACCTCGAGAAGTCCGAAATCATCCCATAAATTCGGCCAATTCCGCGAGGGCCGACAATAATGGCTTGTCGAACGTGTCATCCGTTCGCTGATTTATTATCTGTCACTCGATATGCTTAGACCCTTAATCATCGGCGCTTCTGCCTCCTTTCAAGCGCCGCTCGCTCGCCGCCACGATGCCGAGACGACGGCGACAACGACAACGGGACGGACTTTAAAAGTAATCGCGATTTTCAGTTGGGTTGAAAAATACTATGTATTGTTTCCCTGAGCATCATTACCATCACGAATAATTTTTTAAATCTATATCATATTGCCTTTGCTTCTTATCGTTGCCATTATTTTCATTACTACTAACCCCAAGCTTTACCATCAACTCCGACCTAATCACCCTCCACATTATCCCCTGCTCGCCATCGCCATTCCCACTACCACAATCGCCACCTGGATTACCCGCGTGGGCCGGGCGGGCCAGCTGGTAGCAGCAACCAGTGCAACGCCCTGCCAGATGCCCGCCGGCCCTTTCTTCCTTATTTGTCCCAGCGCGGGGCTCTGGCATCTCATTAACTCCGCGCCTCGTTGTGTTCATCCTCGTTATGTTTACGCAGCAAAGGGGAGGCCTATCCTCGGTTCCCACGCTAATCTGTATGCTCGCTCGTACGCAGGTCATGAAGCGAGCGCGCTCATGAACCAGCCATGAGGTGGGCCGCCCGAGTGAAATAGCCGCGGCCCTCCCTGACGACTAGCCCAAGGTCAGAGTACGGTACCGAGCCTTATCAGAAAAAAAGAGTCAAGTCCTGCCAAAGGATCCTCATCAACATACTGATATTTGCCTATATTTCTCTTTCCAGTTTGTGAATTTATCTTATTTAAATGTTACCGTTTCTTTATCAATGGACACTCAAATGATATAGCTTTCCCTAAGGCCTCCAATCTCATTGTCGTGTGCCGTTCTTGCTCAGAACGACGGTCACCCGCAACACCATTCCGGAGTGGGCAGCGGTGTTTGCTGGTGGCCGGCACGGCGACCTTCCAGAGTGCTCAGGGGACACGGTAGGCCTACGCAACTTGTACTTGACAATGCGAATCGAGCGCACAAAACAGTCGCTCATGGCGTCAGCAATTTCTTCCTTTCAGCGAGTCCACGTATGGTAGGAACAAAGGATCGAAGTACACCTACTATTAAGTGCTAATTGCTACGGCCTTCTCTTCGTCCACGCCTCGTGAATCAAGGCGTCACGCGCAGGCCATAGATGACGGTGTATTATCTCGCCATAAGAACAAGTAAAGAAGAATTACAAAGTCGCCCAAGGCTGCCCGAGCAACGCCGCCGCCTCCATCTACCTCTCTGTCGCATTCTCAAGGTGACGAACAAAAAGTGCCACGTCACCTGCGGGAATGTGCGGTGGCACTCGTCGCCGCGAATTCCGAGCGTGACGGTCGGTCGCTGGCGGTAACAGACACCGGCAGAGAGTCGAAACACTTTGTATATTACGAGTGAGAAAAGGGCTTGGCAACACCTACTCTGCCAACATCGCTCTCTAATCACTATACTTGCTGTGGTCTCGGGAGAACGCTGTGAGGCGGAACGCTAAAATGAGTACAAAAAATGAACTCCAAAAAAGCGTAATTGCATAAACGCCGCCCTAATGAGTAGCACGTGTGCAGGTGAGCCCCAGCAGCAGACGAGTCGACAGAGATGATAATGGTCGCAAACAAACACACAAGGAGAAAGACTGGGCGGAAGGACACCCAGAGAAAGTAGAAACGGAAAACAATCGAGTGAAAAACACAATACTTAAACAAATGCGACGAAGGGGGAGTGTAATGCACGTGATTCCACCAAGATACGAAGACCTCGACCTAAACCACAAGCAAAATATTCTAGGCGGACTGTCCAAGAAAAGAATGACGGAGAGTAATCTCTGTTTATCCCAATGCTCGGGAAGGAGAGATTTCAAGGGTAATGGAGGGCGTCGGGGTAAGGGAAGGGGGCACACCTGTGACCTTGAACCTCCCGTTGGCTCGCCCATAGCCACGGAATTCGTCATGAGTTCCCGCTGGGCTGGGAAGTTCTGCATCCGAGAAACATTTCTCGCATTCATGGCAGCTCTTTGTAGAAATTATTGTAATTTCAGAAGGTAACATTGCAGCGTAATCGCCACGCTTAAGAACTATTCTTAGCGGCACGAAACGTGACGGAACTGTTCTGCTGAACATTCAGAATGAATATTATTAAAATCCGACACAGAAAAAAAGTCACACGAGATAGCAGTGGAATGAATCCAATGAAATTTCGCTGAACCATTTACTTTCAAACTCTGTGATACTGACTGACTTGATAAGCGTGCAACAATACGTTTTGTTATCATCAGCTAGATACAGAATCTTTGATGGGATAATCGAGCACTATGTAATGAGACCGCCCCTGGCCCAGGCCATTGTCAAGTAAGATAACTATTATCGGTGATTTCCGAAAATCCCCGTCGACAATAATGTGGTTTTCCACCGGAGAACTCAGTGCTCAGTTAACTCATGCGTAAAAACACAAAACCTTTCCGTTTCAAAATGAGGTATATAATAGTGGAAAAGACAATTATGTTGATGCTACAAACGCAGTCCCTTTTCTATGAATCTAAACACGGACGCTTTAAAGGATCCCATTTAAGCCGAGGGAGCGGCATCCCGGGTGTCGATCACATCATCCCTCCGCCTCGGCCTGGCCCCCTCCCACACTCCCCGCCCTTAATCCTAGCATCCCGGACTCTACCTTCCTCAGCCCCCCTCCGGCCCCTCCCCATCACCTGGCTTCCTTCCAGCCCTCGGAGGGCCTCCATCACGCCCATCGCATGTCCACCGTGGCCCTCACACTGGGCCCCAAAATCCCTGACAAGGCTCCTGCCCCATCGCTCGCCTTGGCCCTTTCCTATCGAAGAGCACAGGAGTCTAATGAATGATTTCGATTTCAATTCTATTCAAAGATTTGTATCCCATAATGACTCGTCCTGGTGAGTCCCGCTCGTCTGGCTGGCGTAGCAGGGCGTGTCCCTCAGTCAACAGGGCTTGGAGCATCGTTCACCTGCCCGTGACACTGAGCAGTCACTCGCGTCAAGGCCTATTTAGCGGGGTTGGGGGGGGGGGGGGGGTATTTGGCGCAAAGAGTGGTGGAGCGTATTTGGCGGGGAGAGTGGGGTTAGTGTAGGGGGGTGAGGGAGATTTAGTTGGGTTAGTGGGGTCGGTGAAGTATGGGGGGGGGATTGTGGAGAGGACGCAGTTGGTATAGGTGGGGAGTGAGGGAGATTTAGCGATGGAGAGTGATGTTGATGTAGGTGGGGGTGAGAGAAATTCAGTGGGGAGGGTTAGGCTGGCGTCGATGAGGGGGGGGGGGGCAATTATTCGGGATAAGTGAGGCAGGTGGGGGGGAGGCGATATATAACGTGGGACCAAAGTGTTCGGAGGGCGAAGATTCGCGCTTGTTTATTCATCCCGAGAAGAGTCGTGTCGTAACCCTTACTGCTACTGAGACTGAGCAGGTGGGGCCAACGTTTCACTCTTCCGCCTGCTCGGAGGATTCGCAATTCATCCACCTCGAGAACCTCGTCCAAGCCGTCCCTTTTCTAGAGTGACTATTCCGAAAGCAACACAAACAACAGGTCGTAACAACCCAAGTAACGTTAGAGAGCAGCCAGGTCCTCCCGCCAGAGCTCACCGCCAGAGCTCACCGCCAGAGCTCACCGCCAGAGCTCACCGCCAGGGCCCACCACGGGGCATACACCGTTCTGCCCTCCCACACTTACCGGGGCATTACCATATCAAAAGGCACGCCGCCGCCTCCCACGCCTGCCTGGGGGAGTGTGTCCTGGGTGCTTGGATGCTGGGGACTCCTAGCACGCGTTCCCATACCTGTCAAAATCACGGCGAAGGCAATATGCAAACTGAGAGCGATTCCTTTCACTATCATTTGGAATAGGTGCAGATATATCGCAGTGGCCGGATAACGAAGAAGCAATTGTCAAATTAACAGACGATGTTTTTCTTTCATTCGATGATATATCATTTTACGTCATATTACTAGATTGGATGATATCTGTGATTTACACAGATATCATTAGGGCAAGAAAGGTAAAATGAAGAGAAATTACTTGATACCATAGAAATAATACCGCACACTCCAACGGAGTGCAATCAGTACTATAGAAAGCTTACACATATCCGTAATAAGAGTCGGCTCCTCCCACCTCTCTGACTTGCAGCTGCCATGATAAAGTGCCCCGCAATGCCCTGCAGTGCCTGGCTCGCATCATCTGAAGGAGAGGCACGCCACCTCCTGCGCCCCTAACCATCAGTCACCCCATACTAGGCCAACGTATACAGCCAATCGATATCCCTCTTCATTCATATCATCCACCTGTGCGTCTTTCAACTTTACATATAATAATAAACATCTTATTATTGAAAACCGCTATTTCCGTCGAATCTCACTCCTTACAAGCTAACCTTAAAATCCAGAACATTCTTTACATAAGCAATCGTCTACACCAAACTGCCGAAACGCAGATATCAAATCTATACATCAACGTTGTCGTAAGGGAAACACATATTCCTGCCAAAGACCCTTTCTCTTTACTGCTCCATAATGGAAATTTACCAAGACAAAGTAGTAAAACGAGAAGGCATTTGGCATAGACGTTCATTTCTCTATTATTCACAGCGCTCCACCTGAATACCCTCTCTCATTCATCCTCTCTCAAACACAATGATCAGCTTTTTTGTTCACTTTACGAACATTATTCTGACTCCTCTTTTTTCTTTTTACGCCTATGAATCTGTTCCCTATTTATCATTTTCCTTCTACCTCGTTTCATACCATTTCACAAAGAAATGGTATGAAATCATAACTGCTTTCTGGCCCATTAACGTTTGTTTGTTATACTGCAGCACTTCCCCTCCCCGTCCACCACTACTGCGTCGTGAAGAGAGAATGGCCCCTCGAGAATTAAATCATCGCCAACAAGGAACTTCCGCCTTTGAATGTCTCTATTACACATTCCTCATTTCGTATTACCTGCTGCAAATTATTCCCGCAATTAACATTTCTCACCAATAATGTAATCGCGGTTAGGCACGTCTACAAAAACACACGCGTAACAATCCATCATATTGGTGAAACCATCACAAACCTGTCACATGATTTTCCTTCGTCAACATGCGGTCCTTCTTCCTCAGAATGCGTTTCCCTGTCGTTCTCGCGTTCCTCATCGTCGGCGTGTGCCTCCTCTTGGTCGCCATGCGATTCCCCTCCGTTTTCCTCGAATTTCGGTGTGTCGTCGCCGTTTTCCTGCTGGAGGGATCCCGCAATTGGAGGGACCCCCTCCGGGGCCGCCTCGCTCTCACCTGCGCCTTCACCCGCGACCTCTTCCCGCGCGGCTCTCACGTCCCTCGCGCACAGGGGGCAAGCCTTGGCCGCGGCGCGTCTCGCTTCGTTCCTTTCGCACACCGCGCATCCGCCCACTCTCCTCCAGTACTCGTCGCCCTCCTCGTCCTTGAAGCGGATGATGGAGTTCTTCTTGAGGCTGGCGTCGAGGTCGGGCGTCTCCAGACCCTCCAGGTCGCTGTCCTTCCTCCTCAGGATGGCCTGTATGACGTCATCGTCCCCCGTTACGACGTCTACAGCTTCTCCCTCGCAGATGATTCCGGGAGATGGCTCCCGCTCCTCGTCTTCGCCGTGAAGGCAGTAGTCCGTGCGGGAGTGGCGGAGGGGCGGAGTGAAGGACCTGGGCGCCCCGCAGGTCTCCGGCAGACTGAGGCTCTTCACCAGAGGCTGGGACAGCCTCCGCGTGGGTCGAGGCCCTTTCCTCTTGAAACTAAGCTTCCTCTTCCACATGGTGGGGGTGCTAGGTGTAAAGCACAAAATGGGCTTGTCTGTTACTGCATTCGGCTGAGGTGTATCCTATACACCAGCCAAAAAAATCCCTGTTAAGACAAATGACGTCCTGTTTGATTTTGCAACTAGCCAAACCTGTGCACAAAAGTCTATATTTCTCAAAGGACCAAAAAAGTTCTTGGGTTTGGTTCCGCTATTCAGTTTCTGGTTTTCTGGGCCGCAGCCATTATGTTCAGCTATCAAATAATTGGCCCGCCGTTTTTATTCCATCTCCAATCCAGTTCAGATGTGAAATTACACGTAAACACTAATTGACAACTGGTAAATTCTGTAACACTGGGAACTCCGCAGTGAGACAACATCCAAAACACTCTCTTTTGTTCATAAACACGGATCACTTAAACGTACATAACCCGTGGATAAGAAGAACCATAACCCTCACATGGAATAAGAGAAGCGTGCAAACTTTAAACAACAGTTAACATCAGCTTCTAAAGACAACGAAAGAGAAAAATATCTCTACTGAGTGAACACCCATCAAACACCACAGACGAAAGTGGACTGGCACTCCGGCTGGCACTGTGGCGATAAGAGCAACCGCCGCCGGATATCGCGCTATCTGTGCTGTCCATCTCTCTTGTTAAAACACTAACAAGCCTTTTCTACGGAATGACACTATCGCTGGATCTGCCGTGACCTTTTGCCTTGTAGCTGTTACAAAAATGGCCTGCTCTTATGACATGAGAATAACTCGGCTGAGATAAGATACTGTAAAGAATCTACTTTAAACTTTAATAAAAAAAAAAAATACTGAGTTTAGCTAAGGTATGATTTCGAAACTAATTTTTCAAGCAATGAAGAGGATACATAACAATTCGGAAAATCAGAAAATCCAAATCACACCGGAAACGTAACATACATAACAGTAGAGAGATTTAGCTGAAGAGGATTACATAACAATTCGGAAAATCAGAAAATCCAAATCACACCGGAAACGTAACATACATAACAGTAGAGAGATTTAGCAAAAAAAAAAAATCCTATGCCTCCCTGCCTCAGTCCTTCTTATCCTATCTCCAATTTCTCCCAACCTCTTCAACCTCCTATCCAAGTGCTAAATCCCTCTCGCCTTAGCGCAAGCCCCAGCCTCCGACCGACCTGTGCGAGAGATGCTGGGCGTGTTCCCATCCCATCAGAGCGAGGTCAAACGCGGGCTGACCTGCGTGACCTCTGCCACACATCTTACACCAACCTACGCGCTCCTGCGTGTTACCCATACCGATGCCGAATCTACATGAGCTTGCGTGCCGACTGCGTGTTCAGTCCCGCCTTTACAGGGTCAGACTAGTCCCCTTCCAGCCCTTCTACCAGGCCCATACCACCCCCCTGCCAGCCCCGTGATACAAACAACAAGATCGGGCTACCGTTCGGCTCAGGTTCCCCCTTTGCCTGACACGATCATGTAATATGCATGAACCTGCTCATGCGCGGATGCCTTCGTATTCCATCTCCCTTTATGATCAACTAATGCTGAATAAACACAGCGACGCAGCATTTCCAAGCTAGGATGCGTGTTGCGTGTACAAGTGGCTCCCATGCATCCGCCGCGTGTAACCTGTGCTCTTGGAGTTCCGATACAGGATGTTGGTACATAACTTCGAGAAAATGTGTGTGTGTGTGTGTGTGTGTGTGTGTGTGTGTGTGTGTGTGTGTGTGTGTGTGTGTGTGTGTGTGTGTGTGTGTGTGTGTGCGCGCGCGCGCGCGTTTATGTGATTATGAGTGTGAACGTGTGTGTGTGAATGTGTGTGAACATGTGTGTGTGAACGTGTGTGTGTGTATGCGATTCTGTGTGTGTGGGGGTGGGGGAAGAGTGCGTATATACCTGCGTCCATGGGTCTGTATACTCAAGTATATACTTATTTGAGAATTTAATGCGAGTGAGTATATGCCTGTGCGTGCACATATGTTAGCCAATCTCGGACTGACTTTACTAACCTTTCCGACCCAGCTGTCATGTCATGATAGCCCCCACCTGGCTTCCTGAGTTCCCCAGATGTTGCGTCCGGCTTGGCACCCCCCCCCCCCATATCACCAGCGTGAAGGCTCCGACACTAACAAGACAATGACCGCCACTCTTACCTTTTGGAGGGCGTGAAGCAGGTGACCTTGAGGTAGTACCTGGAGAAGGCGGTGGGCAGGTGGTGCGGAACCGCCTCCTGGTACACCACCACCTGCTCTGAGCCCAGCCCGAACATGTGTCTGCGGGCGCTCAGCTGGTCAACTCAAGTCCCGAGAAGGCAGATGGTTCACGCGCTCACGGTCGAGGGGCGGGGGGGCATGCCGACCGCCGACCCCAGCGCCGCCTGCTTCTGGCCGCCGTCAAGCGCCTCCTCCTCCTCAGGAGCTTCTTCGGCGCGTCGACACCACCTTCGGGATGACGCAATAGCTGGGCTTTCTTTCGAAGCTCCCTTTTTTTTGTCACTTCAGCGCTCTAACTAGTTTTCGCACTCTTCGCACTCTCCGGGCTTCGCTGCGAGTCACTTCACGCCGCTCATGTGCAAAAGCGCATCGGTCATCTCGCGTCCTTGCGTCACATTTCTTTTCAAAAAGACGTCCATGTATTTACCACCCCCCCAAAAAATAAAATCTATGCGAGAAAAAATAAAAGAAAGTTATAAATGCTGCACATGTAAAGAAATATCCTTAAAAAACAAAATAACATAAAAAACAGCAGTCACACTTTCAACCGTAAAAGTAACCGACGTCGGAACTCTGATCTCCGAGGCCTCTCCGTAACCCCTAATATTGCCCCCAATAAACGCGGCGCTCGTAGGCCTAGTCGGCCATAGGCCACCTCGCCCTCTTCGGCGGCCCGGCAAGTGAAACTCCTTGCTGGGCTCAGTGGGAGGGAGAGGAAATGAGAGGAAGAAGGAAGAAAAATAAAACAAGAAGAGTAGGAGGAAGAGCAGGAGGAGGAAGAGTAGGAAAGGAAGGAAATGGAGGAAAAGGAGGAGGAGGGGAGGAAGGAGGAGGAGGAGGAGGAGGAGGAGGAGGAGGAGGAGGAGAAGGAGGGGAAGGACGAGGGGGAGGGGGAGGAGGAGGAGGAGGAGGAGGAGGAGGAGGAGGAGGAGGAGGAGGAGGAGGAGGGGAGGAGGAGGAGGTGGAGGAGGGGGGCGGAAGTGGAGGGGGGGAAGTGGAGGAGGGGGGGAGGAAGTGGAGGAGGGGGGAGGAAGTGGAGGAGGAGACGAGAGGATAGGAGGGAAAGAGGAGGAGGAGACGAGAGGAAAGGAGGGAAAGAGGAGGAGGAGACGAGAGGATAGGAGGGAAAGAGGAGGAGGAGACGAGAGGATAGGAGGGAAAGAGGAGGAGGAGGAGGAGACGAGAGGATAGGAGGGAAAGAGGAGGAGGAGACGAGAGGAAAGGAGGGAAAGAGGAGGAGGAGACGAGAGGAAAGGAGGGAAAGAGGAGGAGGAGACGAGAGGATAGGAGGGAAAGAGGAGGAGGAGGAGGGGAGGGAAGAAGTGGAGGAGGAGAAGACGAGAGGATAGGAGGGAAAGAGGAGGAGGAGGAGGAGGAGGAGGAGGAGGAGGAGGAGGAGGAGGCAGGAGGAGGGGAGGGGGAGGAGGAGGAGGAGGAGGAGGAGGAGGAGGAGGAGGAGGAGGAGGAGGAGGAGGAGGAGGAGGAGGAGGAGGAGGAGGAGGAGGAGGAGGAGGAGGAGGAGGAGGAGGAGGAGGAGGAGGAGGAGGAGGAGGAGGAGGAGGAGGAGGAGGAGGAGGAGGAGGAGGAGGAGGAGGAGGAGGAGGAGGAGGAGGAGGAGGAGGAGGAGGAGGAGGAGGAGGAGAGGAGGAGGAGGAGGAGGAGAGGAGGAGGAGGAGGAGGAGGAGGAGGAGGAGGAGGAGGAGGAGGAGGAGGGGGAGGAGGAGGAGGAGGAGGAGGAGAGGAGGAGGAGGAGGAGGAGGAGGAGGAGGAGGAGGAGGAGGAGGAGGAGGAGGAGGAGGAGGAGGAGGGCAGGTGGTGCGGAACCGCCTCCTGGTACACCACCACCTGCTCTGAGCCCAGCCCGAACATGTGTCTGCGGGCGCTCAGCTGGTCAACTCAAGTCCCGAGAAGGCAGATGGTTCACGCGCTCACGGGCGAGGGGCGGGGGGGCATGCCGACCGCCGACCCCAGCGCCGCCTGCTTCTGGCCGCCGTCAAGCGCCTCCTCCTCCTCAGGAGCTTCTTCGGCGCGTCGACACCACCTTCGGGATGACGCAATAGCTGGGCTTTCTTTCGAAGCTCCCTTTTTTTTTGTCACTTCAGCGCACTAACTAGTTTTCGTACTCTTCGCACTCTCCGGGCTTCGCTGCGAGTCACTTCACGCCGCTCATGTGCAAAAGCGCATCGGTCATCTCGCGTCCTTGCGTCACATTTCTTTTCAAAAAGACGTCCATGTATTTACCACCCCCCCAAAAAATAAAATCTATGCGAGAAAAAATAAAAGAAAGTTATAATTGCTGCACATGTAAAGAAATATCCTTAAAAAAACAAAATAACATAAAGAAACAGCAGTCACACTTTCAACCGTAAAAGTAACCGACGTCGGAACTCTGATCTCCGAGGCCTCTTCGTAACCCCTGATATTGCCCCCAATAAACGCGGCGCTGGTAGGCCTAGTCGGCCATAGGCCACCTCGCCCTCTTCGGCGGCCCGGCAAGTGAAACTCCTTGCTGGGCTCAGTGGGAGGGAGAGGAAATGAGAAGAAGAAGGAAGAAAAAGAAAACAAGAAGAGTAGGAGGAAGAACAGGAGGAGGAAGAGGAGGAAAGGGAGGAAAGGGAGGAAAAGGAGGAGGAGGGGGAGGAAAAGGAGGAGGAGGAGGAGGAGGAGGAGGAGGAGGAGGAGGAGGAGGAGAAGGGGGGAGGGGGAGGAGGAGGAGGGGGAGGAGGAGGAGGGGGAGGAGGAGGAGGGGGGAGGAGGAGGGGGGAGGAGGAGGAGGTGGAGGAGGGGGGCGGAAGTGGAGGGGGGGAAGTGGAGGAGGGGGGGAGGAAGTGGAGGAGGGGGGAGGAAGTGGAGGAGGAGACGAGAGGATAGGAGGGAAAGAGGAGGAGGAGACGAGAGGAAAGGAGGGAAAGAGGAGGAGGAGACGAGAGGATAGGAGGGAAAGAGGAGGAGGAGACGAGAGGATAGGAGGGAAAGAGGAGGAGGAGGAGGAGACGAGAGGATAGGAGGGAAAGAGGAGGAGGAGACGAGAGGAAAGGAGGGAAAGAGGAGGAGGAGACGAGAGGAAAGGAGGGAAAGAGGAGGAGGAGACGAGAGGATAGGGGGGAAAGAGGAGGAGGAGGAGGAGGAGGGGAGGGAAGAAGTGGAGGAGGAGAAGACGAGAGGATAGGAGGGAAAGAGGAGGAGGAGGAGGAGGAGGAGGAGGAGGAGGAGGAGGAGGAGGAGCAGGAGGAGGGGGAGGGGGGAGGGAAGAAGTGGAGGAGGAGAAGACGAGAGGATAGGAGGGAAAGGAGGAGGAAGAGGAGAAGGAGGAGGAGGAGAAGGAGGAGGAGGAGAAGGAAGAGGAGGA